TTCCAAAGGCTTTCCATATGCCACCGATGGAGCAATGGTGTATCAATCAGCCCATTGGGCTGCCATTAACCAAGCTATGGTGCACTTTAGGCAAGTCATTTTCCAGTTTATTCCCCGTCTAAGTAACCGGCCGACTAATTATTGTGCTAGTCTTGCTGTTTTTGGGAGCTTTATTTGGAATGATGTTTCTTGTAACTCGGTTCCTTCAACCTTTGTTGATTTGTTGAAGGCCGAGAGTGATATGGTCTAGCTCCTTGTATTTTCCTTTTGCTCTATTAATGCTATATGCAACTTTCAAGGAACCCAAAAACTTTAGGGGGTTCTTCATTTCTTTCCACTCCTTTCTCTCTCTAGAGTATTTTCTAGTGTGAGAAGCTCTGGGCATGGCGGGGGGAGACAGGCGGTCTACTCCCCGCTCCGGCGGGAGTGGTGGTGGAGACGGTTCGGGTGGCGGCAGTAGAGACAGGCGACGGTCGGGCATTGGCTCCGGCGGCGGCATGAAGTATGTGGAGGTGCGCTCTCCGGCAAAGGGCGGGAATGCTGGCTCGGGCAAAGCTGCGGGCAAAGGGTCGGCGAGTGGCAAGGCTGGGGGGGAAGAGTTCTTCGGGGGCTCTAAGGGCAACAAATCTGCTAGAGACTCGGCCTCGGGTGGTCTTGTGGCCACGCGTATGGGGACGGCACCGACTAGAGCTAGTCGGGATGGCAACCGGGGTGGGGCTGGGAGTAACCTGGAGGAGCGGGATGCTGAGATCCAGCTCAAGGTCAATCCAACCTTTGAGGTGAATGAAGCAGCCTTGGAATTCGAGCAGGCCATGGAACGGGTGATGCAGGCGGCCAATGCGGAAGCTGCGGCTGCTGCCCGGAGGGGTGCGGCGCTAGGTGCTCTGGATGCGCATACTCTGGAGCAGGCGGACGGGAGTATGGCTTTGACAGAAGACATGGACCAGGGCATGGAGGATTGCCCAAAAAATTTCTCCAACCAGGCGCCGTCGAGCAGTGGAGATATTGAGATGAATTTGGGTACAGACGGGCTGGTTGAGCCAGCTAAGACTGATGCTGGGGCGGGCGGCAGCTTGCCAATTGATAGTGCTGTAGGTGTGAACGGCGAGGGTGCAGGCCGATCCGTGCCTCTTCACAATATGGAGGGCACACAAGGTTCTTGTTGTAATGCGCCTACAGCGAAAACTGCTAGAATTTTTGGGGCGGCTACGGCGACTGGTGGCCGGTCCCCCAATGCAAACGTTTGGAAACATCCGGACCACATCAAGGTCACGGAAGCTGTGAAGCGAGGGCAATTTTCATCCGACGGGGTGTCGGTTGACCTCAAAATGGAATTGGTGGAGCATAGTATCAATTTACTTAAAAATGCGGTGGTTGGCAAAATTTTGGGCTGTCGTCTTCCTTTATTTGTCCTGGAGGCCGAAATTCGACGGCAGTGGGGACGCTTTGGTGACCTCCAAATTTCGACTATCGGCACTGATTGTTTCGCCTGCACCTACGACACGGTGGAGGCTAGGGACTCGGTCCTTTGTGGCGGACCGTGGTTTTTTAGTGGTAATATTGTGGGCCTTGATCGATGGACGCCGGATTTCTCACCAAGCTCGCTTGTGGGCTTGTCTTCACCCGTTTGGATCCGTTTGCCGCAACTCCCCTTGCAGTATTGGGATCCAGATAATTTGATCAGAATTTCTTCCATGATCGGTGAGCCACTATGGATTGATGTGCAGACAGGGGCAAGAGGTAGGAGGGAGTATGCCCGTATATGTGCTAAATTGGACCTTGCATCAAAGCTGCAAGCGGGAATATGGATCAATGGGTGGAGAGGTCGCTTCCACCAACGAGTCGAGTATGAGGGACTCGAATTTTCATGCTTTGAATGTGGCCGTGTGGGGCACAAACGGGAGCAGTGCCCGAGCCGTCCCGCTGCGACGCCTGCTGCTCTCGGGTTGGCTAAGGGTGTGCAATCGGGATTGATGAAACCTCCAGGGAATGGTGAGGCGAGCTCGTTGGCCAGCAACAAAACTCCAATTGGGGGTGGTGGGGTGGTCGTGGGGACTATTACTCCTATGTCGCCTTCTCGGCCATCCGGGTCGGATTCGAACCTTGGCATATTAAGTGGGGACAAGACCGGTCAGGCTTGCTCTTCAACTCCTGCTACGCCATGTAGCAATGTGTGGGGCTCAGAGGGCCCGTCACTTACTGAGGACGAAAAGCTTTTTGGGGAGTGGAATCTTGTGGCTCCACGCAAGGGGAAGAAGCCACAGAAAAAGTTGCCAGCTGAGGATAAGCTGCCGTTGGGAGAGAATACCCCGAGGCAAGTCAATTTTGGCGATGTCCAAGAGCCTAAAGCGGTTCGGATGAAAGAAAACTTCTGACCCAGCAAAGGGGACAAAAGGCCGGGCACTACCGAGCCGTTATTGTTTAAAGCCGGAGCTCGACCGACCCGGCCTAAGCTCGGGGCATCAAAGGCGCACTTTGATAAGGAACTTCAAGCCCTTGGACCCATTGAGGAGGCCCCAAGGAAGCGCAGAAAGGATGTGGGATCTAGTAACGGCGGCGGGGACGCATCCCCTATGGTGGCGTAATGTCTACCATCCTTTTTTGGAATTGCAGGGGGGCCCGTAAGAGGTGCACGGGCAACTATCTGCGTCACCTAATCAGTGACAATGATGTGCACTTCATTGGTCTGGTGGAGACCAAAATTGAGCAGTTGGACCGTGCGGACGTCGACAGGATGGTCGGGCACAGTTGGAATTTCTTTCACTTTCCTTCAGCTGGCAAGTCAGGGGGCATCCTTGTCCTCTGGCATGCGGGCATCTTGAGGTGTGAAATGCAATTTGCCAATGAGCAAGTGGTTATTGGCTCTCTCACCTTTCCCGACTGTCGGAGTTGGACTGTTGCGGTGGTGTACGCAGTCAAAGTGTTTGGGAGACCATTGGTGACTATGGTGTGACTTCTACACCCTTGCTTGTGGGGGGTGACTTCAATTGCTGCATTGACCAAGCTGAGAAGAAAGGTGGCAAGCGGGTTACTCCAACTGCGGGGCTACTTGAGATGCTGGGATTTATGAGCAGCAACGACCTACATGATCTTGGGTTCATTGGACCGCGCTACACCTGGTCCAACAACAAGGAGGGTAACAGTAGAATTTGGGTCCGTCTGGACCGTGTCCTCATGAATTCGGAGGGCCTCCGGAATGCTCCATTTGCGACGGTGAGACATATGGGGAGGGTGGCTTTGGACCCCGCCCCGCTGCTCCTTACTCTCTGCCCACGCGATGTCAATGCTCCGGAGCGGTGGGTGCGGTTTGAAGACGTGTGAACTACCTATCCGGCGGCTTGGAGAATTGTTGAGAAGAATTGGAACAAGCTGGATTTTGGCAACCCAGCGGATGTGCTTAACCGTAAGTGCCGTCGCACGCTGCGAGCACTTTACCATTGGAGCCGTCAACGTTCAATGAACCTTAACCGGCTTAAAACAACGTTGGAACGTCGCATTCTTGAACTCCAAAATTTGGACTGCTCCCCGAACGGGCTGTGCCGGGAGCTTGAGGACGAGTTGCGTAGCTGCATCAGTGACTTAAATGACACCTTGGCTCGTCTGACAACTTGGTGGTGGCAGCGAGCGAAGACTAGATGGATTGAGGTGGGGGATGCGAATTCTCACTTTTTTCATATGGTTGCCACGGGCCGCCGCCGGGATAACCGGATTGCTAGTATTCTGACTAATGAGGGCCAGCAGACCACGGATGCGGGGGCCATTTGTGAGGTGTTCACGGGTTTCTTCCGGGACAAGTGGAGAGAACAGAATGCTTGCCTCCTCAATTGGCCGGTGTTTGAGGAAATTGACAAGGTTCCGGAACATTTTCTGGCTTCCCTTATGGCTGAGGTTACGGATGGGGAGGTGCGGGAGGCTGTGCATGCTATGGGAAATAACCGTGCCCCTGGGCGGGACGGTATCACCACTTCCTTTCTCAAGTTCTATTGGGATATCATTAAAACTGACTTTTAGTAGTAATAGACCTAGTGAGGGGATTGTGACTTTGGGCGATCAAGTCATTAATAAGAGTACACGTTTTAGATATCTTGGATCTATTGTTCAGAGTGATGGTGAAATAGATGGGGATATTATCAGCAGAATTCAAGTTGGATGGTTGAAGTGGAGGAATGCATCGGGTTTGTTATGTGATAGAAATGTACCCCTCACACTTAAGGGAAAATTCTATAAGATGGTAGTGAGGCCTGCAATGCTTTATGGTGCCGAATGTTGGCCTTTAAAAGAGAAGCATAATACTAAGTTAAGTGTGGCAGAGATGAGGATGCTCAGGTGGATGAGTGGCTTTACCCTTAGAGATAGGATATGAAATGAGCATATACGTGAAAAGGTTGGAGTAGCTCCAGTAGAAGATAAGATTAGAGAAAGTCGCCTTAGATGGTTTGGTCACATAAAACGGCGGCCTTGCGATGACCCGGTTAGGAGAGTAGAGGTATTAGATTTGACTTATGTTAAGAAAGGTAGGGGTAGACCTAAAAAGACTTGGTTAGAAAATATTAGGAATGACCTTTCTTTATTAGATTTAAACGAGAATTTGACTTTTAATAGGACACAATGGAGAAAAAGGATTCATGTAGCCGACCCCACGTAGTGGGATAAAGGCTTGATGTTGTTGTTGTTGTATCATTAAAACTGACGTGCTGCGGGCAATCCGGGATTTCTTTACAACTAGCACTATTAATGAGGAGCGGAAAGAGACCCTTATTATCCTCATCCCTAAAGTGCCAAATGCTGATGGCCCTACCAAGTTCCGCCCCATTAGTCTTTGTCAGTCTCTTTATAAGGTGGTTGCGAAGATCATTATTAACAGAATGAAACCGGTGCTCTCCAGCATTGTCGGGGAGTAACAACGAGCGTTTGTGCCTGGCCGATCTATTTCCAACCACAGACTTCTGGCGCAGGAAATTATTGGGAACTTCCAACATTCAACGAAATTGTCCGGTATGATGGCTCTCAAGGTGGATATGGAGCAGGCTTACGACTGCATGGATTGGGCTACCCTTGAGCATGTCATGAAGCTTATGCGGTTCCCGGAGCGTTTTATCACCTGGGTAATGCGCTGCATTTATTTTCCTAAATTTCAATTGCTAATTAACGGATGCAGGAGTGATTGGATTGGCGGCTCGAGCGGGTTTCGGCAGGGGTGCCCCCTTTCGCCATATCTTTTTATTCTTTGCTCGGAGCTACTCACGAAGGCCATTGCCCAACGCGGCACGACCCTTAGCGTTCAGATTTCTCAAAATGCCCCTTCGGTTTCACACCTGCTGTACCTGGATGATGTGCTGGTCTTTGCGGATGCTAGCACGAGTAATGCTAGGAGGACGATGGCTCTCCTGAATGACTATTGTATTTGGACTGGCCAACGGATCAACTGCGCTAAATCGGCGATCTTGTTTAGCAAAAGATGCCCGCTTTGGAAACAAAGAAGGATTGCTCGGGACATTGACTTCCGCCGGGTGCAGTCCCTGGAGTATCTTGGCATCCAATTGGTTATGCGGAAGCGGGTCAAGTCGGATTTTGTCAAGGTGGTGCGATCGGTCTCTGATAAGGTTAACGTGTGGGGACGCATGCATCTTTCCATGGCTGGCAGTGCCACTCTAATCCAGACGTTGCTGCTTGCGTCCGCTATGTATCTCATGACACATACGGCAGTCCCCATGGGCACCTTGAACGCCATCGAGAGAATGGCTAGGCAATTTCTGTGGCAGAAAGATCCGAGTAAGAAAGGGCTGCACTATGTTTCGTGGTGGGAACTTTGCTGCCCCATTACTGCTGGAGGCCTTGACTTCCATGCGTCCGCACTTTGGCAAAGCCCCTTACGGGCCAGACTTGCTTGGGCTGTGTTGCACCACAATGGTTCGCTCCTTGGCAGGACTATCGCCGCTAAATATGGGCTAGACTTGTGGAATGTCCCTGCGGGATGTAGTGCGTCCGTCACCTGGAAGATCATAAAGGATGGGGTGGTGGCTTTGCGCCCCATCATCCGCTGGAGCATTGGGAACAGAGAATGCATTGAGGCCCTAAATGATACTTGGATTACCAATAGATACCTGGCTCGTTGGCCATCGTTTTTTGCGGTCGAAACTATTGATGGCCGGATGGTTAGTGACTTTTTGGATGATAACCTGGGATGGAACAGAGAGCTCGTCCTAACTTCTTTCGGCCCGGTGATGACTGAACACATTTGTGCTATCCCGACCCGGGTTGGTGGTGACAAGGACATTCCGAAACTTGTTAACTTGCCGTTTGGCACTACGATCACTGCCCAGGCGTATAAGGGGAACTTCCGTCAAGATCAGTACCAATTTCTGTGGCTCAGGAAATTCAAGCTCCACCCGAGAGAGCAGCTGTTCTGGTGGAGAATTTTGCGTGGGGCTATCCCATCAAACCGTTGGCTGTTTCGGCAAAATCTAAATGACCACGGGGACTGCCCGTGGAATTGCAACCTGGCGGAGACGGTCGAGCACCTCACGGTTAGCTGCGAGATGTTGAATGTGATCCTTCGGGTGCTGGACGGATGGGGGATCGCGGTGCCTACCTTTAATTCTTTGGACTGCTTACTGGCCGGCTTTGCTCAAGCGGCTGAGCAAAACCCGAGTGGGGGTCAGCTATACTGTTACGTTGTCTACCAGGCTTGCGTGCTCGCAACGACAAAGTCCATGGTAGATCCTTTGGAACGCCTACGGTCCTTGCGGCTAATGCGTTGGCCATGCTGCCGAAATGTTATGCTATGCCAATCTTGGAGCAATGGTGCACCTCTCAGTCCTTTGGGCTGTCGTCTTCCTGCTATTGGTGCACCCCCCTCCTAGGTGGGTTAAGTTTAATGTGGACGCCTCTGTTCGCCCCAACGCTGTGGCCGGCCTTGGTGTGATTGCCCGGGACCATGCTGGCCGGCTCGTGGCTGCTGTTGTGACTCAAGTGGAGCAATGGGATATGACTAAGGCTGAGATTCTTGCCGGCCTTGCCTTTCAGGGGGCTATTGAAGAGTGGATGCACAACTTGGACGGAATTATCATTGAGTGTGATTGCCGGAGTGCAGTCCAATGGCTCCAAGCCGCTTTCAACCGGCTCAACAAGCTTCATGTCCAGACCGATGGGCCGGATCTTTCCTTCCTGCTAGAATTTAAGCATGTTATCTTTCAGTATGCCCCGAGGGAGCTAAACCGCCCAGCAGATTATTGTGCCAACCTGGCTTGTTTTGGGAATTTTATGTGGAAAGATTGTGATAGTAGAGATATTCCTCCCTCCCTTTTGTCTTTGTTGGAGGAGGATAGCACTAGAGCTTAGTCTCTTTGTTTTGTTATTTTATAACCTTTAACTTAGTAATGCAAATGCAACTTTCAAAGAACCCAAAAACTTTGGCCCGGAACCCAAAAACTTTGGAGGGTTCTTCATTTCTTTCCACTCCATTCTCTCACTAGAGTGTTTCTTAGAGAGAGAAGCTTTGGGCATGGCGGGGGGAGACAGGCGATCTCCTCCCCGCTCCGACGGGGGTGGTGGCGGTGAAGGTTCGGCGGAAGGTGGAGGGCATGATCGGAGAAGGTCGGGCGTTGGTGTGCAAGGAGGTCGCAAAGGCGTTGAGGTGAAATCCCCGGCCAAGATGGGATTGGGGAAGTCGGCGGGCAAGGGAACGCCTGCTGCTAGGCCGTCGGGTGATGAGGTAGCGGCTGGATCGCGGGGTGCTAAAGCACCGGAAGGGTTTGGCGTTGGCCAAGTTGATGTGCGGGAAAGACCGGACCTGGCTAAGGGGCCGGCGGGTGCTCTTTTGGGGGCAACTTGAGCGGATAAGGACATGGGCATGCCCATGTCGGTGGACACGGCGGAGGAAGACAATGCTGCGGCCATGGAGTTTGAGCAGGCGTTGGGACGTGTTGCGGAGGCGGCCAATGCGGAAGCTGCGGCGGCGGCTAGGTATGCCGCGGCCCTTGAACTGGCGTCTGGTTATGCGGCGCTGCACCATGCAGCGGATCAGCCAGCAACTGCTGGCTCTGCCTGGCGCGCGGAGGAAGCCCCGACCCCGACTGCAGCTACTGCGGTGGTTCCAGACGGTAAGGGTTGTGAGGATACTGTGATGGGAGTTGAAGCTTTTGCTTCCAATGAGACCATAGATGGAAATCCTGGACTAGGTGTGAACCTGCAATTCTCCTTGGGCTGCGGTGGAGAAACTCAGCAAACACGCACACTGGGTGTTTGTCGAATTGCCTCTAGGGGACCAAGGCTGGATGTCTTTGGCGGGTTGGCGCCAAACTTGGGGCAAGCCAATGGGAATAATGTGTGGAAGAAGCCGGAGCACATTCGGATTGTGGAGGAGGTTGCCCAAGGGGCCTTCTCGACGGACAGTGTGGTAAATTTGCATATGCAGCTTGTGGAGCAACGCATTAGTGCGTTGGATAATGCCGTGGTGGGCAAAATTATCGAGAAGAAATTACCCTATTTTGTTCTAAGTGGGGAGATCAAGCGTCAGTGGGGTCGTTTTGGCGACTACCACCTTTCCACCATTGGTACCGATTGCTTTGTATGTCAGTTTGGCTCGGAGGAAGCCTGGGATGCGGTCCTATGCGGAGGACCATGGTTCTTCAATGGTAACATTGTCAGACTTGACAGGTGGATGCCGTCTTTCTCGCCAAACTCGTTGGCAGGGCTGACTTCACCGGTTTGGATCCGGCTACCTCAACTGCCTCTACAATATTGGGATCTGCACAATCTTATGCGGATTGCTTCGCAGTTCGGTACTCCCTTGTGGATTGATGCACAAACGGGTGGAGATGGTAGGCGAGAGTACGCACGGGTGTGTGTGCGTATGGATCTTGCACAGAAATTGCAACCGGGCACTTGGATTAATGGGTGGAAGGGGAGGTTTTACCAAAGGGTTGAGTACGAAGGCTTGGGATTGTCGTGTTTCGGATGCGGTAGAATTGTACATCGGCAGGATAGTTGTCCAGCTCAAGGGGAAGTGTGCGGGACTGGCCAGGTTGGTACTCCTGCAGGGATGTCTAAGGGGAAAGCCATCTTGGAGAGTGGTGGTTCTAGTGTGGCGTCCATGAGTCGGGCGCGGCCTAATCCTCGGGTGCCGCCGAAGGAGGTGCCTTCACCATCTATTTCGGTGGGAGGGGGAAGCCAATCCATCAATCTTGAGGTGACGACCCGGGTTGATCGCGACGAGCATTCGGCTGCCGTTGGGCAAGCTGTGCCGACTTCTGTGGCTGTTGACAAATCAGAGCTGTCGGAAGATGAAAAACTCTTTGGGGAGTGGAATATTGTCCCACCGAGGAAGAAGAAGGTGATGCAACAAAAGAAATGTTCAAAGTGCTGGTGAGAAGAAACCTCTAGGTGAGAATATGCCTAGACAAGTGAACTTCAAGGAGGTTGGGGAACCGTTGAAGGGAAACAGCAAAGAAAACCTTAAACCGAGTTGGCACAAGCTCGGTGTTACGGAACCTACTCTATTCTCAGCTGGGGTGGGCAGAGATAGGCTGAAACTTGGAGTTTCTAAAGCTCACTTTGACAAGGAACTCCAGGCTCTTAAGCCCATTCAGGTGGGTCCTAGGAAGAGACGAAAGGAAAGCAGTAATGGCACGAGCGGCGGGGACGCTTCCCCTTCGGTTGCCCAATGACTCACATCCTTATGTGGAATTGTAGGGGGGTCCGTAAGAAGAATACAGGACACTTCCTACGGCACCTCATTGCTAGTAATGAGGTTTTGTTGATCGGACTTGTGGAGACAAAAGTTAAAACCTTTGATAGAGCTGATGTGGATTGGCTTGTTGGTAGGGGATGGGACTTCTTTCACCATCCCGCGGTGGGGAAGTCGGGTGGTCTTCTTCTTTTATGGAGAGGGGATTTTGTTAAGTTCTCAGTGGAGGTGGTGACAATGCAGTGTGTTGGGGGTCGGTTGGTGTTGCCTTCGCTCCAACAGTGGAATGTGCTGCTCATCTTTGCTAACAAGGACTATCATGTCCCGCGTACTCTTTGGGAGACTATTGACTTGGCGACGACAGCAAATATCCCTTACAATTATCGCGGGGGGGATTTTAGATTGTTGTCTGTCTCAGAAGAAAAAGGGGCGAGGAAAACGGTTCATTTTTTTCTGCCGGGGTGCAGGAAATGGCGGATACCTTGGCTAGGAACGACTTGCACGATTTGGGCTTCACGGGGCCTAAGTTTACTTGGTCTAACAATAAGGATGCGTCTAGCCGTATCTAGGTCCGACTAGACCGGATTTTGATCAACTCCGAGGGGCTTAGCGCAGCCCCCTTGGCTGTGGTGAAGCACCTACCACGATTAGCCTCCGATCATTGCCCTTTGTTGCTCGGGCTGGGCATTGATACGGGTGCGCCCAGTTTCAAATGGATCCGTTTTGAGGATGTTTGGACGAGCTACCCGGCATCCTGGAAGGTGGTGCATAAAGCCTGGACTAAAATGGACTATGGTCCGCCGGCGGAGATGGCTAACCGTAAGTGTAGTAGGACTTTGAGAGCCCTTTTTTTTGGAGCCGCAGCAGGGTCCGTGAGCTGAGCAAGCAAAAAGACCACTTGGAAGGGAGAATTCAGGCCTTACAACTCATTGATTGTTCGGTGGAGGCCTTAGTCTCGAGCAGGAAATAGAGCTTCGTATGGTTATTGGGGAATTTAGCGCGACTTTGGCTCGGCTGGCTACCTGGTGGAGACAACGGGCGAAGGTACGGTGGATTGAGGAGGGGGATGCAAACTCGCACTTTTTCCATTCTATGGCCTCAGCCCGGCGGCGTTCGAACAGGGTTAATGAGTTGAAAATGTCGGATGGGGTGGTTACTAATGATCTGGTGAAGATCCACAATGAGTTTTGGGATTTCTTTTCTCGAAAATGGAGGGCCCGGGAAATTTGTGAGGACAATTGGCCGGAACTAGGCCCTGAGGAGGTGCTCTCTCAACAAGCTCGTGACATCCTGAATGTGGATGTCATAGAGGAGGAAATCACAAAGGCGGTGTTCAGCATGGGGAACAACCGAGCTCCGAGCATGGATGGTATTACCTCCTCCTTTATGAAGTTTTATTGGAACATTATTAAATATGATGTTTGTAATGCGATCAAAGATTTTTTTATCACTAACAAAATGTGTGAGACTTGGAAGGACACCTTGGTGATTCTTTTGCCCAAGAACATGACCGCCAACACGCCGGCCTTATTCCGGCCGGTTAGCCTCTGTCAAACCTTTTATAAGGTGGTGGCGAAGATCTTGGTTTTTCGATTGATGCCATTCCTCAGTGGTATCATTGGGGAGGACCAAGGAGCGTTTGTGCCGGGACGCTCGATCTCTGGTCACGGGCTGCTTGCACAGAAGGTTCTTTGTAAATTTCAGCACTCCACCAAGAAGGATGGCTTAATGGCCATCAAAGTTGATATGGAGCAGGCGTACGACTGCATGGCTTGGGACACGCTCAGAAGGGTCATGGTGGCTATGGAATTCTCGGTCAAATTCATTACTTGGATCTTGCATTGCACCACTGGACCACGATTCTCCTTCTTGCTCAATGGGGGACGGTCCAAGTGGATCTCGGCTATGAGCGGATTCCGGCAAGGATGCCCCCTCTCGCCCTATTTATTCATTTTATGCTCGCAGTTGCTGACTAAAGCGTTTCATTGTGGAGGGAGGTCACTTGGAGTGAAATTAATTCCTAACGGGGAGAGGGTGTCTCACCTACTCTACGCCGATGACATTCTGGTCTTTGCCGAAGCTTCTAGAGAAAATGCTATTAAAGTGCAAAAAAATCTTGAGGGGTATTGCCTTTGGACCGGCCAGCGGGTTCATAGTACCAAATCTGCCATACTGTTTAACAAGCGGTGCCCTCGGTGGAAGTACCGCCGGCTTGCCAAGTTGTTGGGGTTCCAGCTTGTGGAATCCTTGGAGTACCTTGGGCTGCCACTTTTGATGCGGAAGCCGGTGGCTTCCGATTTTTCTAAGGTGCTAAAGAATGCTAATAATAAAATTAATGTTTGGGGAAAATGGCACCTTTCTATTGCGGGCAGAGCAACTCTTATTCGGTCTGCTCTCCAAACGGTTCCCCTTTACTGCATGACTCTTTAGGGGGTGCCGAGGGGGGTGCTGGCGGCTATTGACAAAATTGGAAGGCAATTTCTATGGAGCAAAAGTGGAGGTTGTCGGGGGCTGCACTATGTGGCATGGGAAGAGCTGTGTAAGCCTATGGATTATGGGGGACTCGATTTTCACTCCTCCGTTGTGTGGCAAGGGCCGCTCCGTTCTCGCCTTGCCTGGGATTTTGTGCAGCACCCTGACTCGTTGCTGAACC